GAATGTTAACATAATAACAGATTACTAATGCCAACAAATATATTGAATATCTGATTAAGTCTCCGGTTTGTCTGTTCATGGCCTCTAATGTTCATATAGCAGGGTTTCATGAAGGAAGACCCACTCACTGTCGATCAAAGAGCTTATTCTAAGTCAACATATAAGCAACAGTTCTATGCTAGTCAGGTCTGTTATTCAATCACTCATTCACCTCTACTGTTAATAAACCAAGGTTTTAGACGAGTAACATTTTGGCCAGCAGTGTTGCTGTTAGATGCATCACAAGATCTCCACAGTTATTAAAAGAAAACGTTGCATCTAACCCGGGATTTCCACTGCATCCGAAACGGTTCCAATCCGGAACGGCGGCGATGTAAGCTGGACACCGATTCCAACCGGATCCGTTTTTGAGGCGAATTTTGTGGTTCACGGATTATGGACAGCAGGAATAGCGAGAACCAACAAGAACCCTGCGGATTCACGTGCAATCGCGCAGTAACACGTTGTCTTTAGCCACATAGCTAACCATATAAGCAGTAAATTGTGTCCTTCCAGAGGAGGAATTCTACTTCTAGACTTAAAAAATCAGCATCTCCTCATCCATGGTGTCATCGAGATGAAATGCTGTCTATAAACCTTTCACTTGTTCGTCTCCGCCCGTTTGCATGGTGTGAAATACGATTCGCCTGAAACAAGGAGTGTTTTATTTTGAAAAGAAGCTGGATGTTGATGTTGATGATATGGCCTTTTTATAGCCGTTCCGGATGCGGTGGAAATTGCCAGTAAGTGTAAGAACCAAATACTATCCTTTTCACAGTCAAAGATGAAGCGCCAACTGAGTGTTGTACGGACTGTAAAACAACCATCGACTCTCAAACCATCCACATTGCTTTAGACAAACACATAAATCACGTAAATCATCAGCCCAGCTTTACGTAAAATGTTTAATTTTGGTAACTTAAACATCAATGTGCAAAATGAAACTACAAATAACCATTTAAATCCAAACCTAGTGTTTCTCTTTGCTCTTGGGGATGCTCATTTGACTGGCAGAAAGGCTGATTAGTCCTCTAAGAGCCAAAAATAAAGCTGTATTAATGGCTCAGTGGGCATCTCTGTCTCTTCACCTTACTCAACCACAGGGACATGCAGTTGTTTGTGAGGCTCAGTGGTGTTCCCAGCTGGAGGAGCGAAGCAAGACTACAGTAGTTACACATGCGCAAGTATGATAAATGAAACAATACACTGCAAAGAATTACTCTTTTTAAAATGATCCATGCATTATACATTAAAGGAGCATGAATCATGTAAAAAGCATGGTCTGGGCATATATGGTACTGAGTACGGAAATGTTTTAACCACACAGTGACGCTTTATTCCAGGCTTTACATGAAAGTTGTGTGTCAACAAGCTGCCTTTCCTTTTTGACCCCTGAATTACTATTACTATTATCCACCATGCAGTCTTGCCTATAGTTCATCAGTCTGATTCAGTTTTGATTTTATGCATCCAGAATTGCAGAAGTCTACTGAACACTCTTTATACGCTGTGGTAATCCAAAGGTGTTGCCCGTGAAATCTGACGCATGCTGCCTTGAAACATGCAGGCAACCGAACATGTACAACAAAATAGACAACTATGTAGTGCATATACACAGTGCAGGCTCAGCAGATCCATTCCTTCACAGACTATTGGCTTACACAACAGCATTTCTCTCCTCTTTAATATCGTCAGTTAATGTGAGTCTCTGGCTAATTGAAAATGAACAAGTCTGTGCCTCCCTGCAGTGTCTTAATAAAGCTGTTAAAGAGACACACACACACACACACCCGTTAGATGCTGGGACAAACACCAGAAACCTCCTACTGTATGCAAAGAATAGTTGCTTGAGTGAATGAATCAATAAATTCTTTAGTGCAGAGGCACTACGCCAAGGTGAAGCTATGGTACTTTTATCTCTTTGCCCGAAAAAGAAACAGCTGATAAATCAGGAATATGCGGAGATAAAACCACACATAAAGCCAGTGCAGCGCACACGTCTCCAGTGGCTGTGATTTACAGCGAGCTGAGCTAAACTGCTTACCGTCAGGAGCTGTAATAGATGCCAGCGTCTGCTCTTAATTTCTATGGCTGGGGATAGATATTGCTGCTGTTATTTTCTCCCAAGGCGCTTTCACTGATGCCTCCCAAGGTACCCCACTGGGTTATATTTGAACCATATGGGAACAAAATGGTGCAATTAAAAACCTGCTGAAAGCTTCTGAAATTGATCACTTAGATGGGCAATTTTAGTTTCAATAAGCACTGTAATGTACAAAGTGTTCACTGTTTCTCCTACTGTGGATCCCATGATGAGTCTCCAGAGCTGAGATAAGAGACAGACATTAGTAAGAGATGAGCTGGAAAATTTAAAGTGGAGAAAAATAGATTGGCTATTAATGATGGCCCTTCAAAGCTGTATTGACTGTAGCTTCTCAAACATGCTGGGAAGACTGTTAACACACGGTGGGAGCTAAATGAAAAGTAAAAACAGGAGATTATCCTTCTTTGATATGATTTCAAAGTCATGTTGTCCCTTTGAAAGTCTGTTCGAACTTCAACACTATATATCAATTAGACAAGAAGATGAATTTCACAGTTTGACTTTTATTAAACGACAAGTTCAGATATAGTAGGACCAACATTGAATTTTAATTATAAACTAAATTAACTGTACTGCATGTTTTACTTTCTCATTTAAAGCTCCACCAGGGACTTTTAGTTTGTGTTGATTTTGCTTATCTTGTCCTCGACATGCTTAAATCGTGACTTTTGACAAAAGAAATCCAACCATCTAATTTTTGATAATAGTATCACTTATTCTGAATATTTAAGTAGCAAATAGTAAAACTTTGTGCTGTTTTTACATCTGCGCTGCTGATACCTACTCTTAGCTAGTTTGAGGCATTAGAAATTACAACATAAAAATAGTCGGTCTTGTTCATCATTCAGATAAATTTTATTGACAGGAAAAAACTCCTCACAGAAGCTTTAAGCACACTTTGCCCCAAGTATAGTAAATTATAAAATTGTATACTACTTATCAAAATGACCTGAATATAATCATGATCCAACTGCCTGATAAGAAAACGGATTGTCTTCAACAATTGATAGCACACCTGATAGTTCGCAATGCACATGTTAGGAAGACTGACCTTTGGATGTAACTGAAGCAAAAACATAGATACCCTTAGGAAACTGATAAATTAGTACAGTTAAGGGTTATTCAAGTCATTTTTAAAGAAACATCTACATATTTAATTACTTCAAGCTTATCTAATGTACTGCAACAGGTTTACCCACACTAAGTGTTCTGTCCTGCCCCCTGCTGCTTATGGAACCAACTGCACCCTCATTTTTTTTGTCTAATTCTCAGCTGGCTAATTGTTTTTCCTTCTCATACTATCTGTAGACTTTAAATTGTGTAAGGTAGATATTTTCATCTGGATAACAGATGGTAATAAAAAAAAAGGTTTCAAAAAGGTTGTGGTTTCTTTCTGTCAGCACTCAGTTTCCAAAAACCGCTGACCGGTCTCCATTCAAACCTTCTCCTCTGCCCCAGAGTCTAGTATTAATGTTGTACTAAACACTGTCAGCAGGAAAAGGCGTGAGAAAAGGCCTCACCCTGTGCTGTTTCAAGGACGATGAAGCCAAGTTTTTTTCTTTTTTTTTGTAGCACATGCAGGTCTGCTTTGTAACCAGTAGATGGCAACAACAAGTTAAGATTAATAACTGTGGCCACAGATCTCACAATCAGCACAGAATGTCAATAGCTGTGAGGTTAGACATGAGAAATGGAAATACTTCTCTTTTATTACACTCAATCAGGGCAGTCACAAGACTTAAACAAGGACATGTAACTGCTGAAATTTGACCTTCAGCGCCTGTGAGACAAATAATCGTCGTGTAACTATATTTTTGACTTTTATGACTTTGATCTCTTCAGAGTTTGTTGTATTATAAGACTGTATGAGCTTATAGAATAGAATAGAATTCAACTTTATGCCATTGCACATGTCACAAGTACAGAGCAACGAAATGCAGTTTGTATCCAAATATATATTTACAAATGTACAGGGTAGAAAGGAGATATATACATGAGTATATCACGGTATATAACATTGTTATTAATATGCTATAACTATAAGTATGTACAGGCTATAGAAGTGTATGTACAGGCTATGAACAGATTATACATATGGTTATAAATATGAAGGCTATAAACAGACTATAAATCTAAGTATATGACAGATAGATTATGCAGTAGTGTAATATTGGGTGTATTTACAGTCGTGTGAATGAGGTTTAAAAGGTTTTAAGTTGGTTTACAGGTATAAAGTGTAGGTAATTGTAGATAATGGTAAGGCAAATGAAAATTTTAATAATTAGTGCTTCTGTATTGCAGCTTATAGGCCTGTAAACTATAACAAATATGCAGGAGTGTGGTCTTTTATTTAACTATGATTAAAGACTTTATGACATACTCTAAACTACACAACAGATTGTGATGGAGACAGTGTAGCCTGTATGAATGGTTTAGAAAGATATCACCCAGTATCAGGTTCTTTCTTGCTTACAATGAATAAATGGATGACTGGATGAATGAATAACTGAATGAATGAATGAACAGCTATATGTCTGTTTGCCTTTTTGTAAAAAATAAGTGAATGGCTGTAGAAGCTCCCTCAACCTGTCAGGCTGCTGCTCCACAGTGGCTGGGCCAGTTTGATGACCCCTTAACTAGGTTTAGGGTCTTATCTCCCCCCCACCCTCCCACAGCCTGCCGCTGGCTGGGCTGGACGATGACCGCTCTTTAGCTATTTTTATCCCCGTGGTGCTGTTTCTGTTTCTCCGCCAGCCAGTAGAGAGGAGAGCAGAGGTGCGGGCGTCTCTCATCACACCCACCTCTCTCTCTCTCTCGCTCTCTCTCCCTCTCTTTCCAAAAATAGCCGTGAGTCGTGATCAGCTCGTCCTTGAGAGCGAAGGGGAGAGAGAAAGCGAGAGGACTGTATTATTGCTTAGAATCAGAGGAGGGGTTATGGATTGATACAGATAGTCACCCCCGCCAAGCCAACCCCAGTGCAGGCTGAATTAATGTGTTGCTATTTTTGGGAGCCCCGTGTTTCCAGGGGAGACCTAATGACGCAATGACGTCAATGCGGGTCAATCGCAGACTGGAGGAATTGAGTGGCTTCCATTTGGGGCTTTTGCAGTATTTCCTACAGAAAGGATGGAAACGAATGCAAAATGGAAGTGTATTTCCTCCAAAAAATGCATCGAAACTAGAGCTGAATGAAAATGCAGAAGTGAAAGTGATCACAGTGGCACCACGTCGCCCCAACCCTTCGAGCATCAGCGATAGTAAAGGGAGGTGTGTATTTAAGGATGCTTTTATTCTCTCCTCATCCACAGCGCATCTGTGGGATAATACCTACCAGTAACCAGCATGTGGAATGACATTTTCGAGAGTATTTTTGTGTGTTGATTTGATTTGATGTACACAGAGCTCTCCGACTGTTTGTTCCTCGTATGATCTAAGAGTACGTATTGTGTTGTTTCCCCGTCGTAATGCTGTATGCTTTCTATCTCTCTGCTATTAGCTACACGCCTACTTTGTTATTATTTGCATTATCTGTTTCTGTTTTTTTTTTCCACCACGAAGGGCTTTACACAATCCTGACCTATTCCACGCGCTCACATCTAAGCGCACAGAGGAAACGAGCACCTTCTCCTGATCCTCATCTCATTAAACAATCAATTAGACATTTATTCTGGATTCTATAGCCGCTTTCATGTTCATTTTTTTAATATATATTGCAGGGTTTGTGTGGTTGTAAGAGTAACAGTGGCTATTGTGGATGGAGATTGTGCGCGTCATGGTTGCTCGCAACTCGCGCGCAGCCAAACGCTGGTGATGCATGGAGATATCGTCTTTGTACAAACTTTGAATTCGCCTGTAGATCATTTCTTCACAGTGGAAGTTTTAATTGGTCAAGGTGCCTTTTGTGTGTGTTTCATTTGATCCATCCATCCATCGGAAGGTGATTTTTTTTTCAGCGGGTATAGTACAGGCTACTGGCCAGGTGACGTGGGTAAAGTGCAACCCCACAGTACAAGAAAAACCCCAGGAGAGATGTATGTTGCATGCATCGAGATGCAGGATTACACACACGTACACATATTGTCGGCCACATTGAGTCAGACAGACGCACACTTGCACACATGCACAGTGTCGTGAGAGGAGGTAGAGTGGTGGGAGGGGGGGAGAGAGTGGGGGTGGGGGGTTAGGGCGTTTACCGGCAGGGCTGGTGTGAGGCTTTCAGCACCATGGACAGCTCACATGAAGCTCATCTGCTCTGGTCCATACTATTATCTGTCCACACAGGCTGCAGCATCATTGTTTGGCACTGCAACAGGCCACATCACTGCCCCCTTCATGGTAAAGTCAGATTATTTTTAGGTTTTTGTGCTTGTTCTTTGTTAATTATTATTTTGGTTTGCAGGGATATTCATATATTTTATCTTGTAATCAGTTACAGGCGCTTACATGGTAAATTGTACCCTATCAAGTTTTGGCTGTCCTCCACCTGTTGGAAATAGATTTAGCCATCCAGTTTGGTCAAATGGTGTAATGTTGAAAAAAAAGTCACCGCTGCCTTACAGTATTTTCAGCTTGATTAATACGCCCTCAGAGCAATTGTGGTCATGGATCATTTTGGATTTTACACCAACTTGTGCTCCCCAATGACAGTACCCCAAACTACATTACCCCACCACCAAAAACTAGATCCTTCTTTGCTTTCTGGGTCAGTTTGAAACTAAGCTTTATGCAAACTTAAGGACATGCACCCTTCCCTTTTCTTTTGTCAATGTTTTTTTGCTTTCATAATTTGCAAACTGCACATTTTGTCTTTGGAAATTGAGAAAAGCTCCAGCATTGTTGAGAATATTTCAATTATGGGCACACGTTCTCAAGTTTTATTGGATTTTATTTGGTTTCAGTTCAGTCAGACATGTCAAGCTTGGTTGTATCTTTACTTTAGATTTTGCAAAACGTTTACTTTACCACTAATGTATAACAACTTTTTAAGGAGTGAAGTGTGAAAACAGTTAACCTCAAAGAAGAATTCATGGAGATAGGAGTTGAAAAACTGTTAAATACCATTAAACTATCATTGAATTGTTGTTGAATTTTGCAGGAAAAATGCTGTTGGCCACCCAGTTATTTTTTGTTATTGACTTTATGATGTCTATATTAATGTATGTCGGATTACATGTTTTGATGAACTTGTCCCATCCGTTGTTGCTGTGATGTTGATCATACCCTGAGAAAGCTAAATTGAGCAATTACTGGCTTCAAACACATTATAATCACTCAATGAATATACTAGAAACATATACAGTCAAAACTGAAAGAATTTATCTTTAAGTTGGAGCGTTTATCAATCTATTTACAAAGCCATGCGGATTTTAAAAGCATGAGACCAGACAACAAACTTGAACACTATAATCACTTATTTGACACCAGAATGTAACAGCTGGTGCTGTCCTGTTCAGATTAAAATTAGCTGACAAAAGGTTTTGCACGGTCTCATATAACTGTTTTATTCTTTTTATGATGTGGCCCCACAGTGACATGAATGTGAAAATGATAGTAGCTCGTTACTTCTTTTATATTTGTTGTGGCTCAAAATTTTGAATCACAAATATCAGTATATTTATCAAAGCTTGATGCTTTTGAGTGTCAAACTTCTACCCTAGACATCTTGAAATCCCTACAAAGGCTCTAATATGACAGACTTTGAGTTTAACGGATCTGTAACTGTGTGTTTCAGATGCTGGATCAACAGTGTGAGATCAAGTCAGTGATTTCAGCTGATATGTTTTGTTCTTTTCAGGTCTTTTTGCGGTCTGGGCTTGCTGTCACATGGCTATCCAGGAAGCCCTTACCCCAAAAAGCATCTGCAAGGGACCAATTACATCAAGGGGAGTCCTCAATAAGCTCATTTTACAGTGTGGAACAATTTTTTCTCCTTAATTTGTACATAAGGCAATTGTGAGCAGTTATCAGAGGTGTGTTTGACTTTTTAACTCAACAATAGTCATAAATGAACATAAAATCCACCATAGTAGGCGATAACATCATACCAGTCTGCTTGATCCTTTTTGGTGGACATCTCAGCAGCAGTATTGTACTGTTCTTTTAGTGAGCAAGTCACTGTTTTGACTGACATCAAGTAAAATGTAAACCTCTTCCTGACTGTGATGGATTGAGCACCTGACAGCCATACTCAAGTGAAAGTAAAGATACCGTGTTGGTTAATTGGTAGAAATTAAACTCGGGTGCTTGAGTAGAAGTCTTCAAACATCTAATGTATTTTGTGTTCGAGTATGAAAAAGGGTTTTCTCAAAGTAATTGTATTTATCTATTGGGTGTAGAACTACAACTAAATAATGTCAGTGAAGATTACGATGGTCTGGATTTGAAGAATTTGAATCCAAATGTCAAAAAACAAGGTTTTCACATCATAAAGACTGATGGAAGATACCTGGTGGAAGAGCAGCAACGTAACTCAAAGTCACCACATCTAAATAGTTAAACATGTCTCTCAATTATTAGTTTTATGTCAGTTAAGCTGCTATGTATCATCAGTTTTGAATTATATCATGCTATTTCACAGTACACCAATCCCCCATTTTTTCTTATTTCTATATAATGTGTGTGCAGTATAAAGTGGAGGTCAGTAGGGGTTTGGTGGTTAGTGTAGCAAGAAGTTTTTAGGTAATTAGCCCTTATTTTGTGAAACTTATTGTCTAAACATTGAAGATAATTTACCTCACATCTTGCAGGCTCCTGCGATTGGTAAACATTTTATTTATTTATTGTTCTTCTCTGCACTTGCTCTTTTCCTTCTTTGAGTTTTTTTTCTCCTGTTGACATCCATATTGTTGAATCTCTACTCCTCTTTGTTTATCCTTTGGAAATATATTTTGGCTTTTAAATGTTGTGCAGTTAATATGCTGTTAAAACTAGCAGGTTACCATGTCTAAATGACCAACATTGAAAGCTGTTACAAGAATCCTAAGCATTTCTGGAGCACTGCACTTTATGTCCAGAAGGTGGCCTTATTGCTAAAGATTTGTGACTGAGTTTAAATTTGATTTTAATTTCACACACATTACAAAATCTCTGAATACATACATTCAAAACCTGTGAGAATCTGTCGCCTTGAGCCTGTTCTCATCCACGATAACAATGCTATGACCTGTCCGTAACCTTGGCTTACATGAATACGCTTGCCTCCCTGTGTATTTCTGTTATTAAATATCTGCAAATATCTGGAAAAGTACACAAGTCTATGATTTTGATATGAAGTTGTTACCTCTGCTAAAAATGTAGTTGCCTGAAAAAGCCATGTGCTGATAGTAAGTAAGTTATGAGATCCCAAGAACATATCTCCACTCTTTAAAACACATCACCAGGAAATGGTAATTTCCTAGTAATTACTAATTTCTGCAGCAACCAACATTTCTTCTGCCAAAAAGTTCTGTGGTATCCCGCCAAATAGGTTAAATACACAAATTCACTCAAGAAAAAAAAGGTTAGCCAGTTTTGTCCATATCTGCACAACAGTGATGAGCTATTTCTTACAGTGAAACATGGCAGCACACATAAACCCATGATTAAAACTACTTTTCATCCACTGAACACAATCCTTGAAAAAGTTGTGTTTCCTGAAATGTACTGCCTGAAGCTCATCATAAATGTCTTTGTCCACAGTATGTTATTTAGAAACTGCAGCTGTTTCAGGAATGTCGTTTTTGTTCACTCCAACAGCTCTGTAGGCAGCAGTGTCTGATATTTCCCCCTGACAGTCAGCAGCATTTGATTTTAGAGGTCCTTCTCAGGGGTTCAGACTAAAACATCAAAATTAAAAAACCTATATAAAGAGGTATAAACATTTGTCATAATTATCCAACATTGTATTACTGCAGTTGAAAATACGACTAACAGTCAGGGTTTTAAGCAGCACAGAACTAACCCTTGTACCTTTGAGGTATGCGTAGACATGGTGTTGAGCAGATATATTTTGTTTCTGCTTCACGATCTTTTTCAGTGGAAGAACGGTCATAATGGCTCAACACTGCTGTGTTTTCGCTTGTCATAAAGTGTTAGCACAAAGTGTAAATTCTGTTTAATTCTAGCAAATCATATCACACAACACCCTTCCTCTGTAGCTTTAACATTGAAGATATTTGGAGAATAAAACATCTGAACACTCCGGTGTTCACATGGAGTGATAAAAGAGGTGTTAGTAAATCAAGAATTGATATTTAAATTATTTCTCAGATTTTTTATAAGAACTGTATTAATTTGGAAATATACCCCACCCCCCTTGCACCTTTTAAGGCTTTATGTATTACATATGGGACATAGTTTGTCAAGCTTACAGCTGCCGTGTCCGTAGAAACTTAATACTTAATAACTTAAAAAATTAATAAAGTAAAATTAGGGTTACAGAAGTCATTTCATGGTTTCAGTTCAAAATCAGTAGGGTATTGACTGAGAACTTTTCAAATTTGGTTTTTTTTTTTGGAAAAATTCTGTGATTTGGCTAAGAGGCGTTCAGGGTGTAAATTTTGTAACAAGGATTACTTATTTATCTTATTTTTAAAAGAGTGGAAACTGGGACTAACTAACCTGAAAATTCAGCCAGAGGGCCTGAACAATCAAAAAGTAAAATGTGTATTCCTGGGGTCCACAACATGATGGCTGGAGGAAGGTGGATGGAATACATACATTTTTTAATTTTAATTTTGAAATATATAATATCAAGCATTCTTTAAAAGTGTTGTAGTTCTTGATGTTGCAAAGTATCAGCAGACAGCTACCTGACAGTTAAAAAACTATTGTTTAAAGTGAATTGGAGGAATTTGATAACTATCACATTTGAGGAAATTAAGAATGTAAAAGTAGAAAACTTGAACAGGCTCCTTTTTACTTGATTTCTTCTTATACAGTACAGAAAAATAAAATCTTCAAACAACCATGACCCAAGAGTTGGTCACTTCAGTTCCTAAATCAAAAAAGACAGATCTTTTCCCCATAACTACGGGGTCCAATGAGACAGAGATATTTGCTCTATTACTAGCTAAAAAACATAAGATGGAAGTGGATTCAATCACTATAGTCAGGTTTCTTGTCAAAAAGGCTCATCATGAACAACATCACGGCATGCCAGTGATGGACAATCTGAATCATTTGGATCTACAAGAAATCTGGTTTTGGTGAGTATTTCTTTTGGGCCATAAAACTCTTTGTAAGTAACGTAATGGTTTCATTAAATTATTGGGTAGTACATCTCCTAAATGTGTTACGTCTGCAGGCATTATAGGCAAATACCTCCCCATACCTCTTGGATCATTGCTTTTGTTTGACTGTATTAAATATAGTGCTTTAAAAGGTATTTCTTCTTTTCGTTAAGAGCTGATCCTAACTCTGCTAACAGATCACCACACCACACGATAAGTATTTTTTAATTCAAACCTATTTTTATAGCCATTAAATTAATCAAAAGCAAACTTACATTCCTGACATTTGCATAACATTTTCACAAGAAATAAAGCCATAATTCTTTATTACTCAGGGTTAACACAAGAAGCCCTATGTTGGTCAACATGTTAAATATGTATCTTCTCTATTTGTCCAGTTTTCCTTGTAAAGACAGAACGACTTAAAAAACAATACTTCCAAGAAGATGTTACAACATTACTATGGGTTTGTTTGAAGAAGGCTTGTCTTAAATCTTAAAGATATTTGATTATGATCAAGGTTGAAAATTTTCTTTTACAGTCATCAATACATTTTATCTTGGTAAAAGTTACATTTGGGAAAGATTTAAGTCCTATATAGATGTAAAATGCAGTTTTGTAACTACTGTCCTGAAACTGCTTTGCATTTCTTTTGGTATTGCCCGATTGTAAAAATGTTCTTGGGAAAAATGATGTGACTATAGAGACAATAAAACTAGTAAACCTTTTTGTTTTATTCTTTCAAATTGAAAACATCAAAGAATATAATACATTAATCATTATAAATGGGTAGGACTAACATTACAGCCCAGTAACAAGCATGTATTTATCTCCTCACCTTGTTAAATCCACTTCTGTCTTGATAGAGTCTTGTTGAATTTCTTCATTAATATCATCTGACCTTGTAACAAATTCACATTCATTATGTCTTGACTGGTAAGATTTCATTAAAATTTCCCTTTAAGATCTTGAATTTTTTCAATGCCTTTCAATTTTTTAATCCTTTTGATTTGATTAATAAGTTATTTGGCTATAAAGATGGAAAACCTGCAAATTTAATGTTTTATTGATTCCCCAAGGTTTCCATAATTACCAGTAACTGGTGTTCCATAAATAACAGTGAGTGTCCAATTACCAGAACCATATTTCTGTGTGTATACACCCTGTAGGTTCAACTTTATCAAGATTTCATTGTGATCTGCCAAAATAGCTAGTTTTATCAAAACAACTGTGACCAGAATAGCAAGATCATTAGAGGTGAGCCAGAAATCAATTCACGATCGTAAGGAGAGATTGTGATTTTACTTTATTTGCATATTTTGATGAGGGGTCATGTTTTTTACAGGGCAATAATCTGTATCATCATTACAAAACAGAATAATAACCACCTTCTTAGCTGTTGACAAGAGATCATTAGAACAAAGGTGGGAGAGTGCTGGTTCAACATGTACAATTAATCAATTAATATCAACTATGCAAACAATCCATCTCCTAGACAAGTCTTTTTTTCTGTCCTCATCTATGCTGTCAAATGGCGACCCCTGCTGATCTTACACTGTCATTGAAAAACCACATCTCAGTACCCAATGGATTTTTTTCAAAAGGATTCACCAGATGAACTTGCATTGGTTTCTTGAAAGAAAACCAGTACCTCAACTTCGCAGTACAAAACAGAGCTTTCCTCCAGAGTAGTTCTCTGATATTCTTGGCATATATTCTCAGAAAGAGACACAAGGATGGGTAAAAGAAAAACAAACGCTTGTATGACACAGTGTTGACTTTTCCCATTATATAGGGTTGATGGAGATACTAAATATTAGGTATTGACAAGTATGTAACCTTTTCAGAATTTATATTTTCATAAGAAGTGTTGAACTTGATCTATTTGAGGTTTTCACAGTTTCTTAAAAGGAAGGACATTATCCATTCTATCAAACTGTAGCGGCGTAAATGTAAATGATAACATTTCAGCATCTTTTCTTGGCAAATTTTCATGTTAAGAACCCTCATATGACTTCAGACAAAACTCATTTCAATGAAATGAAATGAAAAGGGGATCAACCTAAACAAAGCAGCAATTTAGTCTTGCCAATCAGAGAGCTGCATTTACAGCCAGGATATGGTACAACCTACCCTGCAAGAGGGGCTGGTTGTAACAAAGGAACACCCTGTCTTTGACATCAACTTAAAAGGTTTATGAAAGTCTCCAGAGGATTAAATTGAACAAACAAATGTTTGTACTTTGTATAAGAATTTTAAAACTCTAGCTAAAAAATTCAATGAGTTACAGGTTCTGAAGTGAAAAGTGTTACAGCCATCCCCTATCGCCACTATCAAGTCTATTATTATTATTTTTCTAACAATTAGTAATTTCATTTATTCAGAAAGACGTTCCTTAATATCATGTGATTTATTTTCCCATGTAAATCTAAGGGGGAAATTTTCTAATCCATATGGCTTTGGAGACATCTAGTGACAAGAACACATAGAGCTCTGAATTTATTTCTTCTGCTAAAACACTGTAAAAATAAATCTTTGGCAACCAACAATGACATTTATTGCATTTTCTACAATCTCTTTCTTAATTGCATCAATAACTGAAGATGGCAATTATTCTAACTTCTTTGGTTTCTTTAAAGACAAGTCTTTAAAGATTTAAGGACTTTGATAAGAGTCTATCACAGGGATTATACAAATTTAACAGCACCAATAAAAAAAATCCAAAGTTAAAGAAAGCCAGGGTGTCAGAAATGAAGGCATGACTGACTAAAGAGCTCCCAAAATCTAAAATGAGACTCACAGAGTCATCAGGAAAAAAGCCTCTTTAGTTCACTAAAACAAAAAGTTAGTCAAATCTTGCTGGAAGTATGATATCAGACATGAAATCACTTTAAGATTCATCGTTGGTGACCAATTTTAAACAGATGCAAAGAAACTGCAATAATGTTCTCATGTTTTAACTTTCTTAATGTTTGAAAAACGACCACAGCATATCCATGATACTCTGGATTTCCATTTGCGTATTTGGGGGAGACATTGTTGACCATGATAAACTTCAGCAGTGCAGACACTAAGATATAAGTGCCGATTCCACCCTTGGACAAAAGTCGGCAATGACCCTATCATCGGGTAATTCTCCAGATTACTTTATCAGATTATCTTGTGGAGTGAGCAGTGTGAAGAGTGATTTCTCTCTCTGTCTCTCTCTCACACTCACACATTCGCGCCAAAAGTTTCTCTCCCTGCCGGCGTCTCAAATTACCTGGCAAACATCCTTACTTTTTCTTCCCCCTTCTCTGTTGAATGGCGTAACCAAGGGTTCACGCGTGGAGCTCTACCGTACTGTATTCATACAGATATTCATGCCTTACCTGCCAAAGGTGCATCGCATTCACGTCGTCATGCCCGCTCGTTTTCAAATGAGGAAACAGGACGCATGATTTCCGGGTAGTAAATAGGTGGGTACGGCGGGCAAAAGTGGTCACATGATTCAGGAAAAATTATTACCATGTTGTTTGTTATAAATATCTAAAAGTTCATGCACTACTGATTGTTGTAAATCCTGGTTAAGAATTACCGTGAACTGTCTCAAAGTTTGAAAGGGTTATAAGGATTAAAATATTAATTAAATTCAGAATAAAATGTTTTTCCCAAAAGTTTGGCAATCAATAACGCCCACTAGGAGTGGCTACAGGGTTTTAAAAGAGGGCTTCCTGGGCCTTTCTTTGGATTCATTCAGTCTGGATTTGGTTGCACTGAAGGTAACTTGAGTTTTGCATTGCTGCTGGGGTTTTTTCCTTTTCCTTTTCCTTTTCCTTTTCCTTTTTCTTTTCATGGGTGAATTTATGAGTTACTGCAGAACTCAGGCCTTATTGGCATTTTTTGTGTGTTGTAAATTTTGTAAATTTTGTTTTTGATCATTTTGTGAATATTTTTGCACTGAACCTTGAGAGGCCAGCTGTGAATAAATCCCTTCTCTGCATTTTTTTTTTTTCCACTTTGCTTGTGTTTTTCCACTTACTTTGACTTTTGAGTGAGAACATGGTATCAGAAGTGGGATGGCTTGTCATAAGAAGATTTTCCGGCCCCATAGGCAGCGCATCGAACCCTAGTCTCAGCAGTTGAGTCAGAGACACGTGAAGGATGAGGAGAGGACAGAAGAAGGCACAGATTGGAGGAAAAGACAAGACGGAAAGAGGTAAGAATGTAAAACAATAAAAATAATAATAACAGGTAGGATATGAAACAGGAAAAGGGATAGGGAGGTGTCCTTTTATCCAACCAATCAGACACTCGCATCAGCCAATCAGTGGGGTTCTTTTAACCAACCAATCACATACTTGCTGCTGTTGCCTGCAATCCAGGCAACAGCAGCAAAGCTGGAGAGTGATTTGTCATTTGCTACAAGTAATTCAAACAAGATGGATTTAAAAAAAATATACAATTACATGAAATAATTCAATACTTTCATTTGTCCTTGAATTTTAAAAAAATAGCTTGGTATTAATTCAAGGAAGCTGAGTGTTACAGACCACAGAATCAGGACAAAAGCCGTGTAAATAAATCAGCTAAATAAATCAAACCAGCTTTAAATCAATATAGGGATCAATATAGGGATTTTGACCAATAAGAATCAAGTATCATAGCTGGGTAATTAACAGAGGTGTTTTATGCATCACTCTTTCCTCAGTGATGCTGATTTGTTGTAGTCACTCCCGGACATGTGGGGTAGGAAGGACAGCAGATGTCTTTGTTTGGATGTCGGTTATGTCTGACGGACGTTTCTTTCTTTATTCTGAAAAATCCTGAGTAAAGTAGACTTGGCTGACTCTCTTTCTGTTCGAGTGTAGATTTCTTTTTCACGAGCTGCCAACAGCAGTCGCATAAACGAGGAGAGATCTTCCAAGAATCTCCTCTGCAGTGCCTTACTCTCTCCTCTGGGATTAGCTGGACTGCATTCCCACAATCAGCAGCAACGGGGCCATCAAAGACTCTGGTGCAAATGCAGGAGCTGGAATGTCTACAAAACCAAGCAAATACAAACAGAAATCCCTTTTTTTCTTGTTTCTTGTTTTCTTCTCTCCTCAAAACTTGCACAAAAAGAAGTAAACAAAAAACCCCAGCTTTAACTGCTTTTGTTTGCCTACCTTAGGATCATGACTTTGATTCTGTTCTGTCAAACATCGCTCCAAAGCAGCAGCATTGTCTTAATATTAATTCCCAGAGTCAAACCTGACAAAGATGTCTGCAGAAGTTATTGGTGACACATACATGTTTGTAGTCCAATCTCTATTTTATTTTCTTGGTCTCTTCCCCAGCCTATTGAAAGAGGTCTTATTCCTACAGTGTGGGCCTGGAGTGACCTGTGATCCTTACTTTGGCTTCTGGCTCATGATTGCCAGTTGGGAATTGCGGATAGACAATTGTTCCGAGTCAGAGAGAAATTTACGCTGCAGCACTAATTTGTCTTCAAATAAAAGAGACACACACCCTTGTAAAGGTTTTGAACAGGCTTATTCTTGGAGAGACCAAAAATTCCCACTAATGATGCCCTTAGAGAGGCAGCAGAACGAGCTGGGGAACTGGCTGACTGCAGGATGATGCAGGCATGCATGATAGGAATGCCTGCATTGTTAAACAAGATAGATTTCAATGTAATCACTAACAGACAATCATGTACAGTGCTACAGAACAATAAAAAAATCAAAGCCTTTGGACAAAAATTGCAAGAAACAAACAGAAAACATCTGTGCTTGTGTTGTGTTATATTCCTGTGTCTCTGAGAAGTCTTGCTGCATTGCTCCATGCTCCAAAATACTAAGTGCAGTGCACATCTGTGGCTGAATTTACTCTCCAGCAGAGGGCACCATGCATGCTTTTCTATTTATAGTAGTTGACTAAGATTTCTTAAGGGGATTAGAGGCTTCTTGAGGATGCACTGCTCTGTTTTGAGGAAAAAGTCCTATTTTCCCGACTGAGCACTAACAGGAGACTGTGCAGCGGCGCTCTCTGTTATCTAAAAAAATAATCATCCTGTGGACTGGCTTTATTATCATTTTTATGTGGAAGTGTTTTTTTTTTTTTTTTTGTTCCACATGCTCATTAAGGACTCTCAGGTGTGATGCTTCGATTGCATGAGGCTCTGACGGCACTGTTGTGTTAATTATTTACAGTATGTATACTGCTGCGAGAATGTACCATGTGAAAGGCAAGCTTCTTTTACACTCATATCTCTGAGAAGACTTTTGCCTGAACCCTTTTTGGCTGCGCTAAACTTGACTCAGTTGCTATGGACACTGATGATGTTTTTCATTTCTTTTTCAACCTTATTTTCCAACTGTGTTCATGACAAGAAAATTGCTGGTACAAGAAAATTTCAGATTTTTTTATAGAGTTTTATTACCCAGTGTTTTCACTGATCATCAAGCCAACACGTCACAATTATTAAATCAATCGGCATGTCTAGTTTACTGTGTATGGTTCACCTCTTCCTGTTGACAGTCTGAAAAAAGGAACTTCCCAAAAGCATGGGTAGACAACATAAGGGGTATTTTTAATGTCAATGTTAATTTATTTGGAGAAAATAAGTGTCAAAATGCTGGTTAATGGCTGACCGGCCACAGCTAAGAAAAGCAGACCAAAAAGTAGCACAACAGAGAGCAAATTAATCAGGAATGTTAAACACCGAAGGAACTTAGTCAGAGAGATGTCAGCCAAGTTAAAGAAAACAAAAACAACTACAAACTGCAGCATGGTTTGTACTTTGGCAGTGTTACAGAGCCGGTTGAGTGAGGAGAAAATGC